GCGAATGCTCTAGTATTTGCTAGATAGGGTAGGCTGGTATATAAAAGAGGGGAATATAATGTGTGTGGAGATAGTGAGTAATTGAACTGCAGTCAGAAGTATTGTTGACGTTCGTTGATTAGCGTTTGTTTTAGCGCGATTGTTGAAGTTAAGTGTATCGGTAAAGTTATATTCGGAAAGAATAAACCAGTTTTATTAAGAAAGGACTTGTGTCGTCAAAGTTTCGTCGGAACGAAGTTACTGAAAATCAATTAACAAACGGAGACGTAACACTACCATTTGATTTCACGTTCTTTGTTCAAAGACGAATTTGACATTAAAAAATATACTTAGTTTTATATCCCAAATCTTGAATTTTTTTATGTTAATGACAAAATAACTACCAGCCCTGCTTTATAATGTTTCTGGTATACTTCTTTAATTCTTATACCGCATCTTGCGTGATGAAACATATTTAATAACGGGGTTTTCAATCATTTGGTGCAAGAACACCATATTATTGCTTGAGTTAATACGTCATATTATTGAAGGTTTCAATTACGGGAAAGCAGATCAACTTCATTGTGGTATTCGGTTGACTGATTGGAATTACTGTTATTCTTCAAGTGCGCACCATGAGGTTTTAAAATAGTTGTTCCTCAGCGCTAAAACCCGGGATCGATCGACAACGGTGAACAGAGCGAGTTTTCTTTTAATATCGCAGAGCTACACAATAAGTTACTGGTGCTCCGCGTACTGTGGGGAGATGAATCCCAGGTTTTATTATTGTAATAAGTAAACTTATCCCTGATCCTTTAGGGGAAAGGAGATATACCATTTCTGTGGTATTACGCTATAACAAATTAAAATAGTCTCTACTTTTATCTGTATTTAGATTTTTTGCTAAAACGACCTGGGGGAAGGCCATTGGTGCTCTCCGAGGCTGGCATTTTTATATTTTAACTAATGATTTTTGAACATAGCCTATTACATTTCGAGGTATTAAATTTGAGCTTTTAGTTGGCGTCTTTTCAAAATGATTATCTGTTTGAATAATTAAAGGTTTTTGAAAGTGTATCAAACTTACCTATATGACGTTAGGCCAAGTGTGTATATGTATTTATCAAGGTTGTAGGGATCTGATGTTCGTCGAGCACACTTTCTAAATCTCTTGATGTTGAATTCTTAAATTTGTCTATAGCCACTTTCTTTGTTGCAATCCTTTGATAACTACAGTTTGCATTTTTCACTCACTTTCAAGCCATTTACTCTGATATGATTTATTTTCCATAAATTGGTAGATCTTGAAGACTTACAGATTTATAAAGCAGATACCATCTGGTTGTGGAAATTATTTTTGCATCTCCCACATGTGGGATTTAAACGTGGGACCACTAACACACTATTATCTGCTACAAAGTATTAACCCACTAACACTTGCCAGTAAGGCACTTATCAGTTTCTGATTTTTGTTCAAGGGCTGAATGGATAATCCTTTCTATTGTTTCTTATTTTCCATACTATAGAAATATTTAAAAGTAACTATCATTTTGTGATGTTAGAATTACTGTGAAGATTGAAAATTGAGATCAGATACAATTTGAACCCGATACTTTAATTAATGGGCAAATACTTCAATAAACTAATTTACTATGAACTGATTCCCACAAATGTTAACTTTTGCACTTCGCTGGTATTTAAGATACTTCCAAAAAACAAAATAACAACTAGTTTCCGAAATTTTAAAATAAAGTTATTTAGAGCTGTCATTTTGATTGTTTTTTAATCCCAATAAAACAGAGGTTTGATGTAGGTATTTGCATGACACTATAAGAACTGAATTAACATTTAAAAACTTGTTAAATGCAACCAGGTCACATTAATATGTAAGCCCTTGCCTTATTTATTAGTATTTGATATGCTTACTGCAACATTAAGTAATCCAAGATTTTATTGTGAAAAAATAAAAAAAGATGCTATTTAACTGTAAAGAGGATTATGAAAAAACACAAGCATTAGTCGAAGATCTTGCACAGAGGTTGTAAATTAGTTTCTATAGTTAGGGCAGCATTATCATGAACAAAGTTTTAAAAACCCATGTTCAGTAATCCCATTTTTTGATCAGCAGGATTATAATTGTTATTTCATTGAAAAATTTACATTACTGTACGAGAAAGCAATGTGATTATTCCTTTAAAAGATGTTTAAGTCTATCTGACTACATTTTGTCTTGCACATGTTATCTATAAAATATAATAAAACTGTATGTTGTACACAAATATGAATTTTATTCTAACACCTTACAGTTATATAATACTTTAAACAATTAAACTGAAATTTATAGATTTTCCTTAATTCTTTCTAGTAAATCCAAATAATGGTTTCACCTTTTCTTGTAAGTGTTTTTCTTAACTAGTTTTCATATGGATATAAACATTTTCTGATTGCAAACATAACTGAATTGCACACAAATTCATCATCAAATTTAAACTTTTATGTTTTTTTGCACTAATTGTGAGAATGCTTTAGTCTTTAAACCTCAGAAATTTTATTTTTTTGATTTAATGTATATCAATGTCAAAAAAGGCATTTACAAATATTACCCTAAATATATAAATCAGATATCCAGAGAATCAACTAGTTTGTATAAGGTGTTGAACATTAAAGTGAATTACAGCTGACCTAAACAATATGGGATTACTATATCAATATATCAGTGTAACAACACGATCTGCCAGCTGGTTTTAATGTTACTGTTGTGATTTTTGCTAATTATAATATATATTTTAAAATATAAGAAGTTAAAGACTTACATTATAATACATGTAAAAATGTCTGACAGACATATCAAATTCTAATGACATTATTTGACAGAATCCCGCTAAACATAAAAAACATTACAAATGTTTTACCATCAAATTATCAGGAAAGTATGATAGTTGAAATTTTGCAAGTTAATCCAGTTTCTGCTACAAGCTACATTTCCAAATGAGGTCAGCAAATACTATTGATTATTTAAATAAATTACTAAAATAGTTATGAATTGTAACAATGGCTTGTATTATTAAAAGATTAATCCTATTGGCTGAAGTATTAAAAATGAACTAGGATGATGTACAACTGCAATCTTACTATAGATTAAAAAGGTTTGACATCCATTTATTTCTAGAGCTGAAATGACAAGTAAAAAGTAAATTATTGTATATTTTTATAACTATAAGCTGATGCTTAAAATTTTAAGTAAAAACACATTGTTAAAGACATGGGAAAAAGCTTCATTTGATATATTCTCAAACAATATAAGTTCATTTTCTAAAACACCAAGCCTACTTTTCAAAGATTTTATTTCCAGATAAACTTCAGGAGCAATAAAGTTAGTGTTATTATTTCAAAACTCTTGTTAGCTTAGTTGTATTACTTTCTTGATAATGTTATTTTCAAGAATATATCTACAGTGTTTCAGAGAAATAATGTGAAATGCATAGGTTTCATATAGTCAATTATGAAGCTTAATATTAACAAAATCATGAATTATTATGGTTTCCCAAGTAAAATTGTACACTTGTATTGAATAACACAATCCTTCTCTGTAAAATATTCAAATCTTATCACCTAACTTCCTTTCATACAGTCAACATTTTTGCTTTATAGAAAAAGATTTTAAGGGATGCAACATTGCATTACAATCAACCAAATAGCAACACTGAGATCCTAAATTCATATATGTACATCTTTTTAAGTTTTACAATACTTTTTATAATGATAAGAAAAACAAAAAAATGCATGACATGTATAAATTGGTTATATTTCAGAATCAAATTAAATGAAATGCATTTTCCATGCACAACTTTGGTGATAGCCAGAATGAGAGCTGTGGCTAGTGCTTCTGTTGGTGGATCTATGTACCTCTTACTTCACTTTCTTATGAGCTGTTCCAATCTGGCACTGATTAACCTGAAACAGTTATAAACAAGTAGTATTAAACGGGCTTCACTTTTTCAACTGAATTCAGAATTCACTAGACTTCTTAACTTACATTATTCAATCATAAAAATACTATGCAATGTTAAAAAAACTCATGATTTTTAAAAAACAATGATTACTTCATACACAATTCTATAAAAATGAGATTGTTTCTAGTCTCTAAATTACTAAAACAATAACGTACTGTGCAGGATAAAAAGTGGTAAAAACCCGTTGATACTGGAAAACAATTTCATATACTCTACGTGTTTCGACGTATACTACTGCGTCTTCCTCAGGAGTGTAATGTTTTATAAAAATAATACTTATTTATACAATTACCAAATCACCAATTTACATATTAAAGAATTTCACACTATCTACTGAAAAGATTTCCATCAGATCCATCATCCTTATTCAATAATTTAAATTTATTTTCTTACATTCAATTATCTCAATAGATTCACATATATTCATACCAATTAAACTTCCAGATTGTGCTAAAATAGCTTTTTCTCATTGAATTGTGTGATTAGTTTCACTAACACGTTCTGCTAAAGGTCAAATAGTAATATTATTATTTCTAACATTTCTTTTGTGTTCATTCATTCTGAATTTTAAATTTCTTTTAGTTTGTCCTATATAAACTTTTTTTACATTCACATAATATTTTATATATATATATATATACACCACATTTTTCCATTAAATCAATTTTATCTTTAGTTGTGTTAAGAATTTGGCTGACTTTGTTTATCGGAAAAATATTTATTTGTTTTTAAACTTTTTTCATTATTTGACAAGATAAACCAGGTATATATGATAGTAGTAAACATTCTTTCTTACTTTATTCAGCAAATATTTTTATCCCTGATTTTTAGTTTTATGACAGCTCTGTCA